GATATAAAAGTTTGATCATATCGCCTAGCTCTAGTTCACATTTTAAAATGTGAACATTAGAGTAAAAGAAAGAGTTTTATAGTTTGTAGAGAAGCTTAACATCAACAAACTTAGTTTCCTAAAGATAAAACTAAATAAGAAGAGTTTAAGTAAACCAATCAGASAGGACGCAGCGATGATTCGATAATAATCGTATTTATCATTAAAACAAGATGATAAATCTGCATAAAAACATCTTTTCTAGTGTTGGAACAAATCTGTACATTACAGTGTGGTGGGATCTGAAGATCCTGGCTGTGTGTGTGTGTGTGTGTGTGTGTGTGTGTGTGTGTGTGTGTGTGTGTGTGTGTGTGTGTGTGTGTGTGAGAACATTAACTGTCAATGAGGTCTTGTTCCCCTCACCCATGTTCCTCCTTGTCTTCTTTTTCCTGCTCAAACTTTCCGACCGCACACTCTGAAACATTCTGGAAGATTCCAGCCAAATCGTGACACTCACCCCTCAATCCTGCTCATATACGTGCACACACACTTACACACACACACACGCACATTCATGCCAGCCCCACACAGCTGACAGTGGAAATGGTAGAAAGAGGAAACCTGAAAATGTGAGTTCACTATGAAGCASGACGGTCGGTGTGAGGTTTTAAAGTCCCGACAGGGTTCAAGTGAATTCAGAAGTTACACAACATGAAATATAAACATGAGACACAAATAAAAGGCATAAAGAAACCATAAAGATTGAAAGATATACCAACAAGGATGACAAAATGAAAAATAAGATAACACTTCAGAGAAAAAATCTAATTACGCTGACTTTGCACGTTTGTGACCCATCATATGGAAATGAGGATTAAGTCAAATTTGGTCAAAATGAAATAATTACATTTTCAGATTCCTGCTTTAAAAGCTACATTTTGACACCTGAATCATTCAGATAAAGAGTGGATCCAGAGATACGACATAATTTGTCTTGTTGGTTACGATCAGCGGTGGGAACAGTTCCCCTAAAGCTCTAAAGCTCTAATAGGGGAACTAATTTTCTGATTAGCACTTTAGGGCTTTTACNCTTACTCACTTACTCACTCACTTATTTACTTACTCACGTACTCATTTACTTACTCATTTACTTACTCACTTATTTACTCACTCATTTACTTACTCACGTACTCATTTACTTACTCACGTACTCATTTACTTACTCACGTACTCATTTACTTACTCATGTACTCATTTACTTACTTACTTACTCACTTATTTACTTACTTACTCACTTATTTACTCACTTACTCACGCAAACCCTGAGAACATTTGTTAAAGTTGATCAGGTCACCTTTCAGCTTGTGGAAACAGGCAATAATAAAACGTTTTGGTTTTTTTTGAGTGTTTATATTTTTAATACTGAGAGGGAAAATGAGGACAGGTTGACAACAAAGCTTCATTTAAAAACAGAAAAAAACGTAAATAATTTAACACTAATTTTTTTGATTGAAAACAAATTTTAAAGTATTTTTTAAAAAGATCATATTTTATCATTTATATAAGAAACTTTATGTTCCATTCTCAAAGTCACAAACATTGTTTTCCAGTAGAACCAAACAAAAACAGGAACAAGAACATCTCAACATCTCGATGAGCTGAAAGAGTTTTTGATCAAACCAGCTTCAGTTTGATGAGTCCTTCAGGTCAGGTTTGTTTCTTGAAGGATTAAATTGTGACTAATTTAATGTCAGTCAGATTAAAAGTTCAACTCTTTGAAACTCTTGTGAATTTTTAGCTCCAGACCGACGTCAACCTTTAAGGATGAGTTTTGTGGGGACAAAGGTTGTAATTTTCTAGATTAATTGTAATCTCTTCTCACACGTTGGTTGACAAACTAACTCAGTTTTGGACCGACACGCAGCCGGCGCCAGGCTTCTGTCAGAGGAAGGATCGGTCTTCGGGGAGCCATCGGCAGCCATTATGAGCACCAGAGGAGACGTGTGCACGGATTCTTAGCTTTATGATTATTGTTTCTGGCACTCGCTCGGGTTTTCTCCTCGGCTGCTAACGGCGAAGTGGGTGGAGGGGAGGGTGGAGG